AGGTACGGAGGTGAACCATTGTTCTGGAAGCGAGTTGATGTGCCGACCGACTGTGATTGATCTGGGCTGTGTAGTGTCATAGCTCACACTCTACCTACGGATATCTGAGCGTCTCAAACTTGGCTGAGCAGTCAGGATGGTGAGACATGATAACCACAGATGCCAAAGCCGACAAGAAGTACCAATTGCGCGAGGTCAACGCAAAGGGCATCACCGCGGCGAGTAATACAGAGTAGAAGATGGGTGACAGGCGTTTTCGCGTTGGCGTCTTTACGACGGACATGGCTTCAACCCAATACAAGAGAGAGAGAGAGCCCTGGTCCGACTGCAGATGTTATCTTGTGCCAAGAAGGATCGAGACTGATTTGTTAAGTTTTGGTGCGGACAACCCAATATCAGCCGCAGTCTCAGGTCTGCTTTCAAATACTTTATCCGTACGAATAGTCCGCAGACTCCGTCCATAACCCCAAAGACACCGCGAATTCCAGCGCACAATCTCGACGAGACCGAGAGGGCAACGTCCAAGTCAAGCATCCCCCTCCTCCTCGGTAGGAAAATATGGCGGGTCTGGCCACGCAAACAAGGATGGCACAGGTCGCCAGACGTGGAAAGTAACCTGAAACATACATGGATGCCACTTTCTTCGTCTGATCAGTGACGGCTGACATCTGTGCCCCCGTCCCTCCACTCCCAAAGACCCAAAGTCTTTCTCTCCCGTCTTCTTTCGTCCGTTGGCCCAGGACCGCGAATACGACACGACACGGCACGACCCAAGTCGCCTATGCCCTGGCTCCCATCAACTTGCGTCAACGGATGCACCCTCCCCCCAATGAACCCCTGGTGGGCCGCGAGCATGGTTGACAGCCGATACAAAATTCTACGATACGCCGCGCCAAAAGTCAGACTATGCAGCCTTTTCCTAATTTGGCAGCGTTGAGAAACCAGCACATCCCATCGCATAAGGATTCATCCCAGCTACCCCTCCACGGCGGGCCACCACATCGACAAAGCCGGTTCGTCGGTATTCCAGATCGTCTGTTCTTTTTTTGCCACGAGTCCTCTCGTTGCATAACGGTCGACATTGGAGAGGGGCGGGCCTTGCATGGAAGATGGTCCCTCGGTGCCGCCGCCAGCCCGCGACCTCCCCAACCATCCCAATTTTGGGGACATTTCAGGACCCTTGAAGTGACGATAAATCCGGATAACGTAGATCAGCGTTCTCTTCGAGGAAATCCATCCACCTTTTGAGAAAGTTGCTGCCTCTGATCATGGCGCAACCCAAGTTAGCAAAAGCAAAAAAAGAAGAAACAGGCCCGAGATGTTGGACGTTTGACGCGGCTCAGCAATTGTCTCAGGACAAGCCTGCCACCATCTGTGCAGACTGCAGAGGTGCTCTGCGCCGCACGCCCCAAAACCAACTAGGGAAGGGGGGAAGTTTGGGGGAGAAGGGGGAAAAGAAAGCAATTTTCTCAAACCGACTCACCTCTTGACTGTCTCTGAATCACCGATCACCGTCAGCGAGCGTTTGGGTCTCGTCATCGCCACTAAGAACGCATTAACATTCATGCGCTAACGGCCGGCCGCATACTGGGATCTTCCCAGCCTGGCCGCGGCCGGCGGGATCATCACTCGTTTGAAGCTTACCGTTCAGTCGGCGCTTCTCGCCCAGGAACCCTACTTCTCCTACGGAGTTGCTCCGTACGAGGCTGACAATGACGGCCTCCTTTTCACGGCCCTGGAAGCCGTCCACGCTGCCCAGCTCGATGCCTGGGAACCGTTCTTTCAGGGGCGCTAAAATGGCGAGCTGCGTTCGGTTCATCCGATGTTAGCTTTCATGCCTTGCGGCTCTTCGCGACGGACCCAAGATTTCCAAACAGAATATCCAAAATCAAAGGGGGGCTTCGTTGGGTTTGACTAGCCTTACCTGAGCGTTGTAAGGGGTCACGACGGCGATGTCCTCTGGCTTCACTCCCGCGTCGACCAGCTTCTGGACGTGTTGCCGGACCAGGGCTCCTTCCATCTCGTTACTCTTGCTTTCCCCGTGCAAGCTGAACTTTGCCTTCTTGACGGCGCCCTTATCGTCGTCCTCGCTCCTTTCGGGGTAGTCGCCCCCTTGCGTATCGATGAAGACGACCGGCTCGTTAGTGTCTTCCGTGTCCTCGACCTCGTACGGCAGGTCTTTGAGCAAGCGCTCCTTGACTGCCTCCGCGGCGATGAGCTTTCCTTCGTAGAGCTCGTCCGATGGGAACCTCATGATGTTCTCGTGCATGCGATACTGCGTGGTGAGCATGCGCTTGATGGATGACCCATGCAGGGCGAGCAGTCTATCAAACAGGGTCGTCTCCAGCGTCATGCCCTTGATGTGCTTCCCCGCGTCTTCTTTGGGGACCGCTGGTGTTGCTGCCGGCGGCTTCGCCTTGGAATTGAGAGACTTGATCGTCGGTGGCAGCTGCAGATGATCGCCGGCACAGACGGCCTTCTTGGCCGACAGTAAAGGCACCCAGCACTGTGCCTCGAGCGCCTGGCTCGCCTCGTCGATGATGACGACGTCGAACTGCTGGTCCCGGAGCTGGTGGCCGCCCGCGCCGTGCAGCGTCGCCAGGACGACTTTGCTCTCGCGGATCAAGTTTGCGACGCAGCCGCGCTCGCGCACGCGGAATTCCTTGCGGAGCTCCTTGAGGTCGGCGTAGATTTGGCGCTTCTCGCGGCCGTTGCGCGTCTTTTTGATGGAGGCCTGCTTGGCGTCCATTTCGGCGCGGACGTCCTTGACGATGGCGCCGGCCTCGGAAGTCTGGGTGAGGACGTCGAGGGAGTGGGCGAGGACGCTGGGGAGGAGGCGGGCCGGGTGGCCGAGGCGGAGGATGGGGATCTTGTGCGGGGCGAGGCGCTCCACGATGTTGTCTACCGAGATGTTGGAGGGGCCGCAGACAAGGATGCGGAGGTTGAGCTTGATGAGCTGGAGAATTAGTTCGATTAGGGTATGGGTTTTGCCTGTCTTTGTTTCTCCTTTTTCGTCAGTCATGGCGTTTCTTCCATCGAATTGGTTTAGGGGGTAAGTAAGACTCACGCCTGGCGGGCCGTGGATGAGGGCTACTTCGCGGGACGCGAGGGCGAACCGTATGGCGTCCTTTTGGGAGTCGTTGAGGGACGGGTCGATCCATTGGATCTTTGCGAGTTCCGGGTCGGATGCCAGGTCCGACGGTACCGGCGACGGGCTCGAGAGGCCGAAGAGGACGCGCATGAAGGCCGTGTATTCGGATTCCGTCATCTTTTCGATCTTGCCCATGGTTTGACTCATTCTGCAGGCACCTGTTAGTTCTTTTCTGCCCCCTAGGATACGATACTGTAGCGTTTTGATACTGCGCCAGGTCCGGGAAGCCATCGTTGGCACAAGGTCATGGACTGGTTGTCTGCCAAGGGCCCGCCTTGCCTGCTTCCACGAAGTCTTAGCTGCAAGTGATGCAGCTCATAGACAATTCATCTCTCTCTCTCTCTCTCTCTCTCCGGTATATAACCCCCTTGAAGCCAGACAAGCCAGACAAGACAACTGAGAAGAAAACGAGAAAAGAAGGAAGAATCTCACCTCCGGTACGTGACATCATCAGCAACCTTGACAATCCAAACCCTTCCCGTAAACTCCCTCTCCTCCCCTTTCCCCTCATCAACAGCAATACCAACAACCTCCCTCCTCACCCTCGTAACCACCCCTCTAGCCCCTTTACTCTCGAGCTCCTTCACCTCCTTCTTCTTCGCGTTCCCCGCGGGCTGCTCCGAGATGAGCACAATGTCTCCCGGCCGGAGTCCATGCTCGGGAAGTTCGCCGGAAGAAGAGGCAATGGCGGGATCGGAGGATAACTCGAGGACGGTACGGCCGCCTAGACCTGTGCGGCGGGCGGTGACGACGAGGTTGGGCAGGGCGAGGCCTGCGCGCTGGAGGGCTGTGGGGGAGTGCGAGGAGACGAGGGCGGATGATTCTGAGACTTCCGCGGCGAGTTCGGCTTCGAGGAGGGTGAGTTGGGTTGTTGCGAAGGAAGGGGGGGAGATGGGTTCTGTGGAGGGTGACATTTTGTGTGTTTTGGGGGGTTTAAACGTTTTCCCTTCCCTTAATTGGCGCGGTTTTGATGCTTTTTTTGTTTTCTTCCCTGGCGCCTCTCTTTCAGTCAGGTTATCTTGTTAGTGAGATGAGTTCTCATCACCTCATGTAGTGCAGGTTGATGATTGATGATATTCGGATTGTGGGGGGGAAGTGAGGTGAGGGAGCTGCAGTTGATATGGAAGGTTGTGTGTGTGTCGTTGTCTGCGCCTGTTGTAAGTGGTTCTGTGCGGGTTCCCCACAAGGTGAGGTGCAGCAGGCTCGGCTTTTTTGACGTCATCTGATAGGTTGGGGTTTTGGAGGGGGGAAAGCTCTCGACTCTCAGCTCTCTCATCTTTCAGGTATCAAGATGAGATGAGATGAGATGAGGTACTCGAACGGGCCGGATACCTGCGTCTTGCGATACGCCATTGATGCAATTGCCCTTTATGGTTTTCGCGTCGGACAGAGATTGGTAGGGCATATTACATAGAATGAATACAAGTATGCATGATGCCGGTTGAGAACTGGTACTCGAATGACGAGTTCATCTTAGAGGTCGGATATTCAATGAGCCGTCCAACAACTTCTTAAGGACGAGTTTGGATTTGCTCAAATTTTCCCAATGTCGATTTCCGCGGCTGCTCTGCAGTATCGTATTCAAGCAGATCATCTCACAAGCTTCCAAGGCCGCTTTCTCACGTCACTGTAGAAAACGACTAATTGTCAGGGTATTATATGCTCATTGTTGCGTCATATCAGAGGTAAATAGATGCAATACAGATGGCGCATCTTTTAATCAACACAAACCCCAACTGTCCTCTTGATGCAGAACGCTCTCATTTCAAACATATGCAGCCAAACACAGGCACCAAACATATGAACTCCCCGTTAAAAAAACCAAAACGTCAAACACGATGGAAAAAGATTACCGCTCCCTACTCGTAGGACTCACAACCACAACCACAACCAAACTCACAGCCATTAACGCAAACGCCACCATGGACACGACGATAATGGTCCCGCGGCTCGCGGGGAACTTGCCCTTCATAACCCACTGCTGCGCGCGGAAATAGCGCTGGTAGCCCAGGAACAGGATGAGGATGCTGATGCCGAGAAACGTCGCGCCGAGCGGCTTGCCCAGCTGCCGGAGGGTGTGGCTGTTCGGGTCCTCGGTCCCCGGCGTCGAGAGGGACGAGTTGAGGCGGAAGAGCTGCGTTACGGCGATGCCTATCGAGGCGAAGGCGAGAGATGTGCGGAGCCATGCGAGGAATGTTCGTTCTGTTTAATGAAGTCACTTCTGGTTAGCTGAATCTGCGCTGTACATATCGTAGCCGTGATTCTTCATAAGTGAAGGTACAAAAAGTGTAATAAAAAAATAAAATAAAAAAAAGAGTAGCTTGAATGTGAAGTCGAACTCAAGGGGTTGAGGTCCATCTCCTTAGAGATATGTGGAAATCCCCCGTCCCCAGCTGAGTGTTCCACTGAGCTAAAGCGCCCGAGGGAGTTGGCCCCCGTTTGCCTGGGAGATGAAGGAGGATAAGTTGATCATAAAGGGATGTGGTCATTGCCAGCCGTTGAGAGGCGTCGAACCGTGATGGGTTGGAGAGGCGGCTGAGCCGTCCAGGTTGAAGGGGGGAGCCGACCCGGGTGGGCTGCGGTGTCGTGACAGACCGGGACTGCGAGCGCAATACGTACCGAGCGCCAGGTGATCGCGGGCCACGCTGCCCTTGTTCTCCAGCTCAATGCTCTGAAAGCTAGACAGCAGGATCGTGTACCAGGGTTCCTTCCTCTGCGCTTCTCTCTCCCGTTCCTCCCGCGCAACCACGGCATCGTAGTCTTCGTCCTCTCCTTCCTCCTCAGTCTGCGCCGGCAGGGAGTTCCTCGTCGATTGGACCGACTTGCGCGGCCGTGTGCCGGCCAGCTCCGGGGCCGTTGCCGTAGTGGTGACGGCGGAAGGCGGCGCCGAGTTCATGCTCTGGTAGTTGCGGTCCGGACCGCGGGAGATGATGCCGACGTTCTCATCGTGGGAGCCGTCCGCGCGGGAGTAGTGCCGCGGGGGGCTGGCGGGAGCGGAGCGGGTTGTTGAGAGTCCGCCGCCCATGGCTTGTGCGCGGCCTCGTGCGTTCTGTTTGGGGCGAGAGAGGGAAGGTGTAAGTAGGAGGAGGTATGTATGATGGTGAACGGGGAGAACGGTCCGTAATTGGGAAGAGGAAACAGAACATGGGGATGGGCAGAAAGGAAATGCAGAAGCGAGGTCAACGTTGAATTAACTAGGGTTCAGAGAAATGCCGTGGATTGGCGGCCAGAAGGGTCGGTGCCAAGCGATGGGCGAAATGTACATGCTCGTGGACAACACACGTTTAATCACACGCAGAGGGGTTCCACAGTCCCAGGTCTCCGGTCGGCGATGGGGTAGGATGCAGAAACGAAAGGAGCTACAGGTGGAAAGACGTACCTCTAATATCTCGTTAATGCGCTCGTTGGTGCTCTGCCTCCGGGAGAGCGAGCGCGGCGACGCTGGCGAGCGTCCGTCGTGAGAGGAGGAGCGCCTACTTAGCCCTCTCGGCGAGGCGGTCGCAGAGGACTGGGATTGCGGTGGATGAGCATCGGACGACGGTGGTGGTGGTGGTGGTGGAGGAGGAGGAGGAGGAGGAGGGAAAGCAGTAGCCGCTGCCGCTGCCGGCATCGATGCGGCTTCGTCCTTGGCGGAGACCATCACGTCCGAGACATGGGCAGTTGGCGTCGAGTACCCTCAGACCGAACAGATAGAGAGGCGCACACAGGTAAAACGGAGTTTGAAGATGGCGTCCCTCACGCCAGAACAAGGGTCTGGTGACGTGATCAAGAGGGGAGAGACGGTTTGAAAGGCGAAAATGGCGAAAAATGGCACTAAAAAGTTTCTTGCCCAGAATTCGGCTCTTGGGAAAGCTCTCCTCCCCGTTGAGCTTAGGTATGGAGAAGGTTGGGTGGGCGATCGCGCAGGGCGGCTGATGGAGGTGCGTTAGTGCCGTTTTCCTCATGCAATGTCGCCGTTCGCTAGCGCACTTTCTCGGCCGGCGGCGGAGGATGCGGTAATGGGGACCGACCTGGGAAGCCTTGCCAGTGGAGGACTGAAAGGATGATAGTTGAGAGGAGTAGGTATGCAGTAAGGTGGTAGAGAAAAAAGTAGCGTAGGAATAAGGTTCAAGCAAGATGAGGCTGGCAAGTGCAGTTCTTTTCCTGTAAAGAAATGAGACGAGACGAGTCGAGTTTCCGTCTTCTTCACGTGAACATTAGATGGTGAGAAAAACCCCCATGACATAGCTCGGGCCCCTCTAGAGCTTTATCTGATTTTATCCATTGGGGAATTTGGGATGGAGGGGTTTCCCGTCGATTGGTTGGTCGCCGACCATCCCAAGATCTAGGCCGTCTCTAGAACTCTGGGGGGGAGCCGCTTGACCCCGCCGATGCCGATGGCACGGGGCCTGGTCCTACCCGTCGCCAATCGGACCGGCTGTCGGGGCGGCTGTACGGATACGGGTCACCTTCGGCCCACGGTGGACGTTTGACAACCTCACTTCTATCTTTTGCAGCAGTGAACACACTTGAATTATACGTCTATCTTGGTGGCATTAGAAATTTTGATAATCTTTGGGCTTTAGGGTGTCCAATGCGCCATTGGATCTTTCAGTGCATTCCCTCGCGGTCCAGGGCTAGCACGATGTCACCCAGCGGAGATGAAATGCTACTGTGTGACTTTGAACTTTTGCAGTTTTTCTCAGCTAGTTTCGCTCGTGATCAGTCGACATCATCTATAAACGACTATCTTGCCGTAGAATGGGTTACTCTCATGAAATATAAACATTGGTTGGAACTTGGAAGTAGAGAATCTAACAAAATGCTTCTCGAGTACCCTTCGTGATCACTGGTGGGCAGAATCCACGTCGGGCCGTAGTGACAGACTTATGAGCCGAGCAGTCGCATCCATCTCACATACTATCGCTTGCGCAAGGAATGATAAACTTGTCGTACTTTGTCAAGAATTATTCCAGTTACTATGCAGAGCCGACTTCTGACATAGCATAGGTAAGTAAAACGCCCGTCCAGATCCGGTTGGTCTACATCCGCAAATGCCATTTTGGATGGATAGCTGGCTCCAAAGCCATACGAGGCAAACATGTAAGAGGGCTTTCTCGGTGCCTCTCGCCGATTTGATCTCCAAGCTACAAGGCCTGCGGAACAGCGAGGGGTCTTTCAGCTTCTCATCTTCAGGGCTACGAGGATTGCTACGAGACGATGCTACAGACTGGTTTAGGATGTTTTCGAAAGCCTACGGGGTCTCCCCAAGATATAAAGAGCATCTTTCATTCCTTGCCTCCGCCGCCGTAGTATTCAATCTATAAGAATCATCAGAGGGAGAGAGATCTGGAGATATATGCCCTTGTTTAGGGTGTAAATGTGTATGTTGAGGACTGGGGTGTCCGCTAGAAAAACTCTTTGCCACCCTTCTGCTTGTTAGAGCGCCTAATAAACTCAACAAGATTCAGATTACGTTTAGATCATGTAAGCCGGCAGGATCAGCCTTGTCATTATATAGTAATCTACCGCGTTCCCGATAGTGTTGGTATTGTGTTTGTAGGGGCCTAGGCAAGAAATATCAAAAGCTGAATTTAGGACGTAGGGTCATGCGGACAACTCTGTGGATTCTGAAAATAAATTGTAAGTGGTTTCTTGTGATGTTGTCCAGGCCGCATCACCTCCACAGCGGTGGTGCTCTTGCGCCAAGATCCCACGGGTTGAATTCGACCAGCACATGCCCAAGGTTGATCGCGATTATCGCAATGGGCCAGATTGGCTCTAGTATTAAGTATGCTGCCTTTGCCTCCAGATAACTATCGGTTACTTCCCAGTATAAGTAAAGAGATATACCGAGAGGAATACTTTCGTAACGTGGGGAGAAGGAGGACTGCATTTATTTGAGGTGAATGGTATAATCCTGCTGACTTTCCTTTAATTAATTACTAAATCATAATAAATAATGTAGTATAACGCGCACTGGTAACAAGGACCTTTTCCTCGCCGGCCGATACAATTCTAAAGTCTGTGGTGCCCGTAGAAGAGACTTTCACAAAGAAAAGTCTGAGACGTTTATATAGGTAGCAGATTGAGACCAAAAGACTCGATCAAAGCACTCTCCCTCACCGCCTTTCTAGGAACTTCTTTCATGATCCCCCTTTCAAGCCAATTCATTATCAAAACGAGGGGCTTTCCAAATATTTGGTTTCTTCTTCTAAATCGCTCAAGTCTGTGAAGATCTGGAATTTCACTGCCTATATTCTCAAGGCACTTTATTCCGTAATAATATTTCTCGTCCCCGGCATGTTGCTCCGGACACAAAACAGTTTTTATACCATTTCACGTTTGCTATGGTCTTGATACACTGTTGCTGTCCACACCTTCACCCACAACATCGTGCACCACATATGTCGTCACTTGCTCTGCCTCATTAATGTGCACAGCTGACCAAAAGCAACGGAGGTACATTCGACACGTTGAATTGAGCCAGTGTTGTATGCCGGCGAGTACACACGACTGGTGCCTCTACGAGGCATTTCATCTGCAAAATAATACACCACAGATGAAGGGGCTTCGCTATGCCACAACAATAATGCTCAGTCATGTCCACAGGTGGTCGCGGTATAAGCCGCAATAAAAAATAAACACATCTACAATAGCATGTACGAGGGCTTAAACATATAGCATGGGCGGCTCTTGTGTGACCAGACCGTCAGATAGAGTCGCTTACAGCTGGAGTCGACATCCGTTTTGTGGACAACAAGGGGTGGAAATCACCTCTATCAACAGCAATATGTCTATGATATTGTTTAGCCTTTATTTATATAAGTAAGTTTCATTGTAGCCTATAGAAGCAAACTAGATGCTGCCATTTGCAAAGGCGACCAGTCGGTTGTACGAAGGTGCTATAAACACGTGCACTCTGAAAGGCTCGGTCGAGTTCCAATAGCCAACATTACTGATGGTGGTGTCCAATTTGAATGACTTATACCCCTGGTGATGTCTCGAACTATCGCTTTGTTCTTATAAGGGCAAAGCCGTTTCTTATGTGACACGCCTGTTGATCACGAAAGACCACTTGGCAACCTCCGCCCCTCAGACATTCTCACTGCAATGATAGACTCTCTCAACGTTATATCGATACATCTCCGACCACTTACCTAAAATATAGATACCCATAGCCTCAAACTCCGACTCAGAGGATCACTCAGACATAACTGCTTCAAGTACCTCGTACTCTTCTCAATGGACCTGACCGTATCGGGCAGAAACAGGGAGACTGGCTTGAACATCACCGTTTCTGGCAGTACACCAAAAGAGATGGCATCTAGAGGTCGTTGACGCTGAGATGAGGTCATGAGAGGACATTGCAGCTCTTTGCGCCTCGTAGAAGCTCGTAAAACTTAAGTATCGCTGACAGAGCTCGTATACGCTCGATCTCACTATGGAAGCACGTAGACATTGAAAAGGGGAATGATAGCTTTGACGAAGATGCCATCGTTTCCCCAGACAACTCGTCTCGGTACAACAACCATATGAAGTATAGACGTTCCGAGTTGCTGTCTCCGTGTAGATCCCTCTACACCGGAAACGAATCCTACTTCACCCCTTGAACTCATCGTATCGTGAAAAGGGGCGTATCAGACCACCTTTCACAACAGAGGAGTAACGAGGCGAGCAGGAGAACGACACCCAGCAGCAAATCATGATTCAGCAAAACATCTCTCACGTAGGTAAAGAGAGGTATAGGCCAACAACTCCCACCCGCACATCGAGGGGGAGGGAAAAAGCCAGCAGCATCCCACCAACACAAGGTAATTAACCGGTATTCTTCCCTCAATGCCTGGTCCCAGAGGTTAATGTCAACGATAAAAAGACTAAAGTCTCTGGCGGACGTAGGCACAATCGACCATACATGACCAGAGAAGAGTCACCCTTTTCTGCTTCTCCCAATCCTCTCACTGGAAGAGATAATCATGGCACGCTTACATTCAAACACATCGCAAGACGGAAGAAATCCTACGTATAGAACGCTTCACATCCGTT